ATCTGTTGAATTAATTTTAATAGTCAATTAATTTTCAATCTTAATAGTAATTTATGTATGATTAAAATTTAAAAAAAAAAAAAAAAAAAAAAGAATGGTAATCCATATATGGCTAACATTTTATCCACTGACAAGGAAAAATTTACCACACCATACTGGTCATTGGTAATTCAGTTATGAACCAACTTCACAAAATTTTAATTTTAGCATATACGGCTAAGGTTTCCAACTTGACTTTTGTGATTTAATCTTGAAGTCCGCAAAATGTAATATCTTCACGTGGAACTTCATGTAATGCAATCCAAAACTTATACTCAGAACCGTTATGCCATATTTCTTATTAACAATTCCTGAATTATCTCTAAACTTCTTAGTGACTAGTTAAAATTTTGTTTTAGGATAAACCAAATAATTTACAAAATATGAACAAGTAGCAAAATATTGAAAATATAACAAAATATAATAATATATGATTTTAAAATAAATTATTCATTTAAGTTGGAACTAACAAATTAATTAAGATAATAAAATAAATATTAATATACAAACCTAATAAACAAAGAATTCATTGTAGAGATTGAAATAAATTTGATCTATTCAGAAATTTATTAATTTTTTAATTCACATGTCTCAATATGTAAATTATGAAATAAATTTGATCTATTCAGAAATTTATTGTCTTAATTTTTTAATTCACATGTCTCAATATGTAAATTATTTCATTCGTTATGAATTTAAGTTTAAAATGAAACGAACCTATCCAAATGTTGTAAACTATTTCTTTCATTATAAATTTAAATTTAAAATTAAGCGAGTCATGTTACGATTCATGGCCTTAATATTTTGTATTAAAAAAATATAAAATCTATATATAATATATTTTAGCTTAAATTTGTGTAGGGTGGACCAAACTCCTACACCCATGTAGCTACATGCTCAACTTCTTCATGTTTCTTAATTAAAAGAACAGGTTCAGGTTAAAGTCGGTTGAGATTCTTCATTATCTTCATATTTTTGGTAATTAACAATATTTTCTCACTCATGGTATGTTTGTTAATTAAAAAAGAAAGTCATAAAAGTAAAACCATATTTTTATCAAGTGGAAGAATAAAATAACCAAGTGGAAATATAAGCTCCTTTAAACTTGTCCAAGCTTTAATCCGGTGGTTAAAATCTTTTAAGTCGCATTTTAAAAACTTATATTACTATTACCAATTCATATAAATCAATATACAAAAATGTTCAAGTTCAATTCGTTCATGCTTAAACGGTACATAATAGGAATATTTTGTTTCATGGCATGCCCCACAAAATGACTGATTTTCAACCAAATAGTCCATGAAATTGAAGTATTTGTTTTAAAGGGATAATCACTTAAAACGATAATATATTTTTTGATTTGTACATATTTGGTCACTGAGTTTTTTTTTCGTCGATATTTACCCTTCAACTTGTTAAACTGTACGCATTCAATCCTTATGACCGGTTACTCCAGGTCAGCCGGGAAAAATAACTTAGTAGAGTAATATATTTATTATTTTGTACACATTTAGTCCTTAATATTTTTATACACATTTAGTCCTTAATATTTTTTTGTATCAAAGTAAGTTATTTTTGTTTTGTACTCTTTCAGTACTTATGATTGTAGAACAATCATTGATGGAGTGTGTATGACTATTGATGTTTATGTGTAAAGTCTCATTTTCACAACAAAAAATATTCATTTTTAAATAAGGTAAAAATCCCTAATTATAAATCCGTTATTAAGAAAGAATGTTTATTCCAAAATACATAATCAGAGTAATATAAAAAACACGGAATCCTCAATACTATTGATGAGTGTGTACAGTCATGCATTCGCCTTCCACGATCAACGATAGAACCTGAAAACATGAACAACTGAGTAAGCACAAAGTTTAGTGAGTTTTCCCCAGAAAATGATTCAACAAACGTATTATCATTAATAACAGACCCACACTCATCAGATTGGAATACATCGGCCTAATCAATCATCAGATTGGAATGCCAACATGCAACATGTCCAACCAGTCATCGGACTGGAATATCCAGGGTTTGTTGGCATGTCGCCTTAACCCAACCGCTCATCTCAAGCCTCTGCGCCTATGGCTTACACCCGGCCTGTACCAGGTATTCTGGCCTAAAACATATAACAGGACCACCTCAACCTATCCCACCACCATATGGTTATCCCACGTAAGATGTCATGAAAAAAACCTACAAAAATCATTCACAAATACTAAATGAGTACAAAAACAAAAATGACTTATTTTGCAACAAAAAAAACTATTAAGGATAAAATATGTACAAAATGAGAAATATATTACCCTATTAAGTTATTTTTACCGGCTAACCTGAAGTAGCCGGTTATAAGGACTAAATGTGTACAATTTAACAAGTTGAATGGGTAAATATAGACGAAAAAAATGAATGACTAAATATGTAAAAATCAAATAATATATTACCCTTTAAGTCATTATCCCTTTGTTTTAGGATCCTGTTATTCCACCTTCCCTTCCACCTTCCCTTTAAAAAAAACCCTTATTCACAAGCTTTATTTGTTTCCTTTCATCCACTCGCTTTTTCTTTTATTCACGCAACTTACCATTTTGAGATCATGGTCCTTATACTTTCAACAATTGCTAAAATACACCCAAACGCAGAGTTCCAATTTATATTTCATACTTTCTAAAATTTCAATTATCCCTTGAACATTTATACTTTTAACATTTAATTAATCTTTGTTACTTTACTTTCATTATAGTTTCTCTTATAACATATTTCACCTTTAATTATTTATAATTATATAATATTTTTTTATTAAATCAATTTACATAAATTTATAAAAGTGTTTACTTTTATTTTAGTCCTTTTGTTTTTTTTTTATTATCTTCTTATGCTTTAAAATATTTATAATTTATTTAAATACAAGGTTATTTATTTTTATCATTAACCTTTTTTCCAGTAGTTTTTCTTTAATAAAAAAAATTATACATTATTGAATTAATATACATTAAAAGACAAAATATATTTTCTTTAACATATTTCAAATTACATAATATTTATGTTTTGAACATATATTTATATAAAAAAATCTTATATATAAAATGAGATGTTTTTTAATATTTTTGTTATATATAAAAAAACATCACATCATTCATCTAAAGGTGGATATTAAATGGATAGAAGAGGAGCTGAATATTGGAGAGTACTGTGTTGCTGCATACATACATCTCCGATGTTGCTGCATACATACATCTCCGATTGATGCATTTGAGACGATAAAGAAACAATATAATTATATAAATGAAGTGAAGAGTAAGTTTACTCATGAAAATACAAAAATTTGAATTAATTAAGGGGACAGGTTGAGGAAAAAGTAAAACTAAAAAATAGAGAAAGTTCAATAACCCAAGAGATAACAAATACAAAATTATTATTATTATTATTATTATTATTATTATTATTATTTTGACATTTCTAAGGTTAAACCGACATATATGTAATTAAGTTATAATAATGAAAAACCCGAGATTAAGATATAATCAATTTTCAAACAGAATTAAAGAATGGAGCCTTTTTTTCCCAATTATAAATTGTACCCAGGCCCGGCCCTGAAGGGGGCAATGTATGCATCCGCAGGGCTTCGAAAAAAATAGGGCTTGAGTTTTACCAAAATATATAATTAAGATATTAATATACATTAATATATATTATGTGTCCAAAATCAAGTATACTTTTTTTAGCGTGAGTTTATTCCAACTTCATTCCATTATAGGCCGGCCACTTATATAATAATAGGCGATATAAGGATGTTTATATGTAAATCTTCTATGTTACAATTTCTATCCTTAATTTATCATTCATACTTAACAATTTATCCCGTATATGAACTCTTTTTAATAAATCAATTTCCAAAAATTCTGTATTTAGCCCCTCAACTTTTTTAAATTTATAATTGTCATTTTGTTTATTAATTAATTAATTTTTTTTAGTATTTAATTTAAATTTCTAATATATATATATATATATATATATATATATATATATATGTGTGTGTGTGTGTGTGTGGGGGGGGGGGGGGGGGGGCATTTGCATTTTTCGTACACGGGTTGTCGTTAGATATTACGATATATTATTACTTGTTAAAATACTATGATTTTTCTATGTTTATTGCTATAGAGTTTATCGTCGTTTTTTTATAAAAAAAACTTTAGTTTATAAAAATAATTCATCACACGTTAGGGCATATGACCATTTTTTTTTTCTGGTTCGTCCTGCACATTTGAATCCTCAAGATCAACCCTGATTGTACCAACCTCAAATCCAACACCCACCTAACAACATCTGACCCACCCAAAAGCATTTCATGTATGTGACAATGTGAGGACCAATTCCATGAAAAACCATGTAGAAAACAAAAACTAAATCAAAAAAACAGAAATTTGCATCCCCTTGTAATGAAGATGAAATGGTGACAGCTTTGTGATAACGAATAAATTCGAAAATTGAGATTTAATGAATAGGAAATCCATGGACTATGGGCGTGAATGGGGTTAGCCACAAGTTTCACCAAACACATTTTAATTTAAAGTCAACAAAGTAAACTCCTAAGAAAAGGTGGCGCCGTGAGTGATGCATCAATCATCTTGTATAATTAAATATCAAATCCAACAAATATTTGACTTTTCACCCAACCATTTTGGTCATGTACACAAAAAACTAGAATATGTACAAATGAAGAAGTAGATAATAACCCTATTACCTGATTCGTACTTGGAGCAATGTACATGAAAATCGATGGATAACATATTTAATTTATGTCATAAACTAACAATTTGATCTTATATAAACACCAAATCCAACAAAAGTTTCAAAATTGACGCCTTTTAACATAAATATGCCATACAAATAAAAAAAAAAATTAAAATATTAGTATAAAGAAAACAGTATTAGATAGCAAATATTAAAAATATATATATTTATGCGGCTTCTTTTCCTCTCTTGGCAACTCTGACCACTGCAACATATATCTTGTCCATGGTTTCCTCAGCAAACCTGAAAAGCTTCCATCTCCACTCCTTCTTGAACAACAAAACTCCAATAACACCCCAAAACCCTGTCACAAAACCACTCATTATGTCCACGTAAAACAACCAGACCTCTACACGCTCCTTAGCTGTTTTGTGTTTCTTCTTGTGCTTTTTTGTTGGGTCTTCAAAATCAGAGCATTTCTTGGGCAATGGAGCTCCACATAGATCTTTGTTTCCCATATATATTGATGGATCATCCAGGGTCTGTAACTGGTTTCCTGTTGGAATGGGTCCCGACAAGTTGTTGTATGACAAATTCAAATGGCTCAAAAAAGTCAAAGCTGCCATGCTTGGAGGGATCGTCCCGGTCAACTCGTTTCTAGATAAATCAAGAGAAAATAACTTCTTCATGTTTCCAATGTTATATGGAATGCCACCACCGAGATGATTATTAGACAGGTTGAAACCCATCAACAAAACAAGTGCAGTTAACTTGATCGGGATTTCTCCTGAAAGTTTATTGCTTGAAAGGTCCATGTTAAAAAGTAAATCCCATGTTTTTGTATATTCAAGATCAACACCTTTCATGACCTGAATCACATTGTCTTTAGGACGCCGATAGTATGGGTTAGAATAATCGTATTTCATGGCATTCAACTCTTCTAGACAATCAGGTATGCTTCCCATCAAGTTGTTGTATGCAACATCCAAAATCTGAAGATTTGAAGATTTACACAAAGATCGAGGAATTCGACCAGTGAAGTTATTTTTGTGTAACCTTAAAACCATCAAATTTTTAAGGCTTTCTCCAACCCATTCGGGTATGTTTCCTCGTAATTGATTATCACCCAAATCTAAGACTTCTAGATTTCGTAAATTCCCCAATTCTAAAGGAAGTTCGCCAATGAAGTTATTGTCATTCAATTTTAATCGGTATAATGATGAATTAAGAGCTAAGGAACCCGGAATGACACCAGAAAGTCGATTTGAACTAAATATCATGGTATGCAACTCTTGAAGATTCCCGAGGCACTTGGGAATTTTCCCGGTTAACCTATTTCTCGAAAGATCAAGATATTTCAGATCTGTCCTTTTGCATAATGACCTTGGAATCGATGCATTGAAAAGGTTGTTTTCCAGGAATAGTGACCTGATATCATAATCATATCTATTTAGACTAAAATTTCCTCCATTGGGAAGGTTTGTCAAAGGTCCGTGGAGTTTGTTGTAAGAAAGATCTAAGAAAGGAATGATTGGCATCTTTTGCAACCATGTAGGCAGAGGTCCCGAAATTGTAGCATTGGACAACCTTAACGTCTTAAGTTCCCTTTGATTTCGCAGCCACTGTGGAAATCCATTTGCAATAATGCAAGAACTGAGGTCAAGAGACTTCAACACGAATGGAGGCAACCACTCACGTGAAATATTGAATGTCAACCTAGTGTTGGAAGAAGTATCCAACTCCTTCAACTTCGAAAGGTTGGCAAAATGGGCTTCAAAAACTACTCCTTCTAAGGAATTGTTTGAGATATCTAGCGCATAGAGTTTCACAAGTTGCCCAATTGAAACCGGAATCGTTCCATTTAACATATTTGAAGACACATCAAGAGATTGTAGTGAAACAAGTCCTACTAGAGATGTTGGGATGGGGCCCGTTAACCGATTGGATTCCAAATTCAAATATTTTAAACCTGATAGTTGTCCAAATGATTTTGGAATTGAACCATTTAGTTGATTAAAAGAAAGATCAAGCGTGTTAAGATTCCCAAGGAAGGTTGGAATGGGGCCTGTTAAGTGGCTTCTCGACATATATAGTACTTCTAGAAATCTTAATCTTCTTAATGATTTGGGGATTGAACCTGTGAATCTGTTGAACGATAGATCTATCTCTCTTAAATTCTTCAGTCTTCCAAGTTGTTTGGGAACTGTACCATTTAAACTCCCATGTAAAATCAACCTCTCCAAAGCATATTTGGAGCATTCTGATACATTTTTCGTTGAGTCAATCATTTCTATACGGAAATAATTGTCTGACACACTCAATTTTTTCAGGTGACACTGTCGCCAGATTCCAACATGCTCAATCTGCTTAAACTGGTTAGAAGAAAGATCAAGCTCCAGAAGGTTAGGTATAATAGGAACCGATGAATTCAACATGTTTCCAGAAAGGTCAAGGACTCTTAGGGAACTCACGTTTGTTAAAAAAGATGGAAAGGTACCTCCAATTGAATTATAGCTAAGATCCAGGTGTTGGATTTTAGCAAGGGTACTGAAATTAAGATGAGAGGGAGATAGATGCATGTTATGGAGCCCACAACGTGACAAATGCAACTCTGAAATGGAAGGGATCATGTTTAGCAACTTTGCAAAGTTCAATGTCGAACCAAGATCAAAGCCTGAAAGATCAAGGAATGTTAGGGACTTCATGTTTAGGAAAAAGCCAGGGAGTGGACCTTTGAAATAGTTGAAGCCAAGATCCAGGAATACTAGGGATTTCATGTTTTGTAAAAAGCTTGGGAGTGGACCATTGAAAGAATTGAAGTGAAGATCCAGGAATACTAGGGATGTTGTGTTTTGTAAAAAGTCTGGGAGTGAACCATTGAAAGAATTGGAACCAAGATCCAGGAATACTAGGGATGTCGTGTTTTGGAAAAAGTTTGGGAATGGACCTTTGAAATCATTGAAACTAAGATCCAAGTGTTTGAAGTTGGGAAGTATTCTACTCGAATTAAGAGAACGAGAAAGATCAATGTTGGAAAGCCTACAAAATTTCAAACTTAACTCTCTTAACGAAGGAATCATGTAAAACACCATTTCCCAGTTTTGTGCTCCACTAAGATCCACATAATTCAAATTGAGATGCTCGAGTAACGAAAGGTCAGAAGTCCATGCCATATCATCTGCCACCAGCTCATTGTTTGAACTGATATCAAGAAACTTTAAACTAGAAAGATTTCCTATGTTATGAGGAATAATACCTTGAAAACCAGCATCAGAGAGATTGAGGTAGCTCAGGTGTTTGAAGGATCCAATGAAGTCAGGGATTTGGCTTCCTCCGAAATCATTCCAACTCAAGTCCAAGTAACTGAGATGCCTCAACTCTGCCAAAGAAAAGCTCACCTCATCACCAACTAACCATCCTGTGCTTCCTCTGAGATGAAGGCTTTTAATGTTTCCGGTGACATTGTCACAATGGACTCTTTCCCACATGCAACAATCATTGCCAACCCATGATGACAACATTCCAGAAGAATCTATGACACTCTGTTTGAAGTTGAGAAGAGCAAGTCGCTCTTGCTCAATGCAAACGATGCTAGTATTTTCAACACCCAAACAAGAACAACTGTTTGCAAACAAGAAAACACTTACGAATATGAGATAGAGCCCCAAACCTCTAGGATTCCCCATTATCAACGCCAACTCACTTTTATTTAGAAAAAAGAAAAAAATGGAATGGGAAGTTGTTATCAAGAACTCATGTGTTCGTATGATCAATTAATAAAATAGTTTGTTTATAAAGCCATAAATAAAGAGCAACTTGTTATAATGGAAGACTTTGGAATTGGAAGTCAATGGAGAATCTGTATTACTATATTCTTGTGGCCCTATAGGCTATTTTTCTTTTTCTGTTGATCAAAGGAAGTAATTGGCAGCCAGGTCATTTTATATATTAATTATAAACGTTTGATAATTTACAAAACTAACTACAAAAAAATAAGTTTTTTTTTAATTATCTGATGTAAAAGATAGTTAAAATTTTCAATTCATTTACCTACCCCACGTGTAACCCAATCTTTGAAGTCCTGAGAGTAGCCCTCAAAGTTCATGTATTAGTTTTATTATTACTTTATTAACCATTACCCACGTTAACAGATAAATCCCTAAAATTGACAAATTTAGGCACCAAACACGATTTCAACTCAACTTTCTCTTAATTTAAGTTGTATGCCTGACAAAAAATCATTTTACAAACTATCCATTTAATACAACTTAAACAAAACATGACATACCTTGACTAATGGGGCTACGCGGCAACGCAGATTGATTTTTCTTCACGATTAGAGGTCAGATTCATATATTGACATACTATTTTCTTCAGTCCACTGATTTCCTTCACGTGTTCTCATTTTTTTTCGCTTCTTCTTCTTTGGCTTTACCTTCACCACTTTCAACTCATACGAGTGTAGGGAAAATAGTAGGATTTTATTATATTTCCTTCACTTATTTGCTATTAAATTCATTTTGCACAATAACCCTCTATTCTGTTTATAGTTTGAGTTTGTCCCCAACACTTTCAGTTTTTATTTTTTGAACCCTTACTTTTGACTTAATTATATAGAGACAAAATTGCAAATTTTGACCTATCTTATATTTTAGACAAAAATGCAAAAATGATCCTTACAATTTGCTTAATTTTTTAACATCAAAATCATTGAAAATTTGGATAGACCGAACATGTTTGTATGTGAATTTCGTCTGAACTCAAATTAAAAAAAAAATCCATTTTTACCATTTTGATTTTTTTTAGTTTTTTATATTTGAGTTTTATTAAATTAAAAAGACTTTCACACACACCACACCTCTCATTCACATCTTTCTATTTCTTCCCTCTCATTTCCCTCTCATTTGCTTTTGCTCATAGCCCAACTCAAATACAACTATTAGAAAGGAAAAAAAATCCCAGACCAACGTGGAATATGGTTGGTCCAAACACGATCACTATTTCTCAAGTGTAGATCGATTGGTACACATCTATCTTAAAATCGACGCACTCCAGCAAAATTAAACCCTATACCCCTTCTTTTCTTACAGTAGACCAATTTGTCTTCTTTCTTCTTTCTTAATCGCATATCCCCTCTCTATGGGTGTGTCTCATACACCACAAAAACAAAGAAACCGAATCCTTCTTTTTTATCTTCGCTTAAAATTGCACAAACCGCCCCTTTTTCTTCGATCGTCTGTGAGAAATTAGGTACAAGGGAAAAAGGGGTTGCACTCTCCCCACCCCCTCCCTCCCTCCCTCCCTCTCTCTCTCTCTCTCTCTCTCTATATATATATATATATATATATATATATATATATATATATATATATATATATATATATATATATATATATATATATCAAGTGACAGTTTTCTTGATTTTCGATTTGGGTTTAAAAAAGGCAAAACTACAAAATTGGTCAATGTGGTTTCGCAAAAACTATAGATAGGATCTAAAAAGTTTCTGACTTGCATGGAATTTCCAAAATCAAAAATTTTCTATGGTTTTGGTCCTAAAACTTGAAAAGATTATTTTGCCTTTTTAATTTCTTTATTTTATTTTTATATTTATTTTAATCATTCGTTTATTAAAAGTAAAAAGAAAAGAATAAACCTCTCTCTCTCTCTCTCTCCCCACAAAAGAGAATCAATTTATTAGAAGTCCATTTGAAATCACACCCATAGAAACCCATTTGAAAATCATTCATGATTTCTTTATTCTCATATTTTCTTTAATCACAATTCCCAAGAAATTCAAGTATATCTTATCTAGTTTTGTTCTTGGGTGTTCAACTAAAATCAATCACAACAACAACTCTTGGGGATTTTGTATATCATGATTGTAAACATGCTGGAAATTGTTGGATTAGGTGTTTAAGCCTATAACTATAATTGGTATGTACTTGACCCGATAGTAGCATGGTCCTTTTGGGTTGGCTTCACGGAGCAATTTGATAGGATGAATATTTGAGAAAGAGGTTATTTGTGATTTAATAATATATCATAAGAATAATATATTAATTGAGAAATCATATTATTTAATTTGTATTGATCAACAATTAATTTGGAATTAATTTAGTGATCAAAAGAGACTGATTAAATTAACGGGGTCTAATTAGGCAAATCAGTAATATTTATAGTTTGGACTAATGATCCATGTTGATTAGGGATGGACTAAATCCATGTGAGAGTCCATGAAGATTTAGTCCAAAGGGTCTATCATATGGGTTATTAGATTGATTAAGGACTAATCATATGAATTAGGGTTTCCAAGATGAAACCCTAGAAATTCCACACTATAAATATTAACCCTTGCACTCCCAAAATCGGCACTTGTGTTCCATGAAGAAACCCTAGCCATTTTTGGTGCCTCCTAGCCTCACTCTCATAATCCTCCATTTGTTTTTGGTGTTTGTGACTTATTAGAGGTATCACATTTGAGGTACTGAGCTCTTGAAATGCCAAGAACTACAAGCTACAACTAAGAGGTATTCATCAAACTAGATTTTTTGTTGTAAATCTCTAATTGTATGCTAGTTAGGGTTTATGCTTTGGATGAAATGAAATTGCATGTATAACTTGAGAAAACTTAGATCCAAAGCATTAGGGTTGTATGTGCACCATAGGATTGTTATCGTGCTCAAAACCCATTCGAAATACCATAATCACCATGTTTTCTTTCTTTCCTTTATCAATTACGTGAGACACACACTAAACAATCACACACTTAGATACATATATAATATGTTCTTTGTTCCTGATCTTCGACCTAGAACCACTAAACCTCCCTTAATTTCCATTTATGCTTCTAATACTAAAAAAGGCCACCATCACATATCTCAAATGTCCTGATTTGTGATGCCTTAGCCTAGGAGATTAGGACTAGAGTGGCGTGATTTGTGATGCCTTAGCCTAGGAGATTACAATTGCTATGAGATGCTTCGAGAGTGAGTGGGTAGCAGTAAGGAGCTTATGAGAAGTCTACTGAAGGGAAGCCTATGCTTAGCAAGATGTAGAGTACTTGTGATCTGGGATCCTAGGAGGAGGACTTGGAATGAATGTTGATGCGATGTGGAAGGTAGTATAGGGCCCGTACTACTAGAGGCATCAGATCAGTGAGCAGTCCAAGTAAGAATCCTTGGGGTGCTAAGGAACAAGTAGGGCCGAGCGATCGAGTGCAAGTATACTCGAGCGAGTCTCTGATTTCTTTTATGTTGGGAGACATGATGGTTGGTACACCACACTATGACAACCCGAAATTTTCTATTACTTTGAACGCTCAGTCAGTCAACTCAATTAAGTGTCAGACTTATTCCTGCTATCATTTAGCACAATTTAGAATTTGTTTGAGAATTCTAAGCCTTGTACACTTAAGGGATAAGTGTTGGGGTTTATCTGTTGAAGCTATAGTACAAAGATCAGGCCTAAAACACCATGACCATGAGTTCACGGCCACCACACTGGAGTTTACGGCCGTAAACTCCATGTGGGCTGTAAACTCACACTATATGATCAAGTGTTGGCCATTTGTTTCATTCCTTTCCTTCCTTGGCTAATTTTCCTTCAAATCCTCTCAACTATCATCCCGATCTTCACCTTAGATCTTCAAAACTAGTAAGTATTCTTCCTTGACTTGTTGATATACCTCTTAATCTAGCATTCTCTCATGAATTCATCCATGAAAATCATGTTTTAATAGATCTTCAAGTTTCACCAAGAACACCAAGAACACACACTAGTGTTCTTGACCAAAACCGACCATTTCAAGCTCCTATATTGTAAGTACTCTTGTTCTAACTTGTTATGCACTAGATTAAACATGTTTAGGCCTTAGAAACATCAATATTTAAGGGTTGGATGAGAGTTTACGACCAAGGATCTCCCAAGGCCGTAAACTCCCTATTATGGTGCAATGTTGCCCTAATTCCCTTCCTTATGCTTAGAACTTGGATTAGAACCCTCCACCAATGAACTAGGGACATTAAACTTTGAGTTGATACATAATACCATGAGTTTACGGCCGTAAAATCATGGAGGAATGGTCCCTAGGCCGTAAACTCCATTGAGAATGGTCCTTGAGCCATAAACTCAAATGTAATGCCTTACACTCCTTTGTTGCAACCCAATGGCCTCCTAACACTTGGACCAAAGTGTTTTCCACGATTTAGGGTGTTTATACTTGTCTAATTAGTGTTATAATCACTAATTGTATATATATATATATATATATATATATATATATATATATATATATATGTCTTTATATGTTATTAGGATCATTGTGTGTGTTCAGGTCTTCACTTGACACCTAGCACTTGTCTGACACTTCCATATGATCCACTCAGTACAGGTGAGTTCATACCCCTTAATTAACCTTTTAAATGTTTTTAAATGCTTTTATGGGGGGGGGGGTACAAGTTGAATCATGATAGTTATTATATCAATCACATGTGATTAATAACTATCAAACTATGCATTTACTACACTTTTAGCTGTTTTACTCAGTATACTACTTCAAAATGATTTCTCAAAACATTTTTACATAATAAACCCTTTATCAAACTGTATTACATACTATATCTTCCTTTCAAACTCTGTTATAACTACGTTTCAAACAAAGGTTTTCATGTACTTCAAGCTGTGT